GGCTCTCCATAACTGCCCGGATCGCCAAGCCAAAATTCTGGCAAATGTTCATTCTGGTTTGCTTCGCTACTAATTCTTCAAATTGGGCCAACACTGCGATTATGGTGACGAGCGTGAGAAACTTCCCGGACCGACGAGGGATCATTTTGGGTCTTCTTAAAGGGTATGTGGGTATTGGAGGTGCCATCATAAGCCAACTTTATTTAGCCATTTACGGCCACAATGATCCATCCAATCTGGTTCTTCTTTTCGCATGGCTCCCCTCTCTCCTAATCCTCATCCTTTTCCCCTCAATTCGACCAATCCGTATCCGTAAGCATCCCGATGAACTCAAAGTGTTTTACCAGTTACTTTACGTCTCAATTCTTTTGGCCATTTTCATCTTGTTTTTAACCATTGCACAAAAACAAGTGGTTTTCTCTCAAGCTGGGTACGTAGGTGGCGCATCCTTTGTGGTTTGCTTACTATGCGTACCCATTTTAATCGCATGTAGAGAAGAGTTGTTGCTCTACAAACTCAACAAAGAAACCGCTGCTCCTTCTGTCGCACTCTCCATGCTTCACCAAAACCCTCCCACCCTCCCTACCTCTGCCGACTCGGAAATCCCCGAGATTTCGCCCTCGTGTTGCCCAAACATATGGAACAAGCCTGAAAGAGGGGAGGATTTCACCATCTTGCAAGCCGTGTTCAGCAAAGATATGGCTCTTATTTGCTTAGCTACATTTTCTGGATGTGGCTCCTCTCTAGCCGCTATAGATAATCTAGGTCAAGTTGGGGAATCACTTGGCTACTCACAACGAGCCATAGGCATCCTTGTTTCATGGGTTTCCATATTCAATTTCTTCGGCCGAGTTTTCTCTGGCTTCATCTCAGAAACCCTCATGACCAAATACAAGTTACCTCGTCCTCTAACCTTTGCTTTTGCCTTTCTCATCACTTGCGTTGGCCAGCTTTTCATCGCCTACCCTTTCCCAGGCTCCCTCTACTTAGCTGCCATAATTATTGGGTTTGGATTTGGAGCTCAAAATCCAATGCTATTTGCCGTAATATCTGAGATGTTTGGTCTTAAACGTTACTCCACGCTCTTCAATTGTGGGCAATTGGCAGCCCCATTTGGGTCTTACATACTCAACGTGGATGTTGTCGGGAAGCTGTACGATATGGAAGCTTTACGTGAACGTAAGCAGATTGCGGGGAAGGGGTTAACTTGCACTGGAGCTCATTGCTTTGGTGGGTCTTTCACAGTATTGGCTGCAGCCACATTGTTTGGAGCCGTGGTTATGTTTGTGTTGGCTTACCAGACTCGAGAATTCTACAAAAGGGATGTGTATAAGAACTTTAACGAGGAGATATGGATTCCACAAACCGAAATGGAGTTCTATCGCTTGGATAACAAGAAGAACATTGAGGATTAAATTCAAACCATCAATCTTTCAAACCTCCCATGCCCACTCAATTTGAGGACACCCTTAGGGTCCTTTCGAGAGGGAAGATTCAAATCTTTGTAATCCCTAAATTTTTTAAAATTTCATTTTAATATGATTATCCATTTCATTATTAAATGTTGACCAAATATTTGTCTTTTTCTATATTATTCCAAAATATATATAAATATCTAAAACTTCTTAGATAAACTTCTAAATAGTGAGCTCATGCTCTAACTAATCTTCTTAAATTAGTGATGATGTTTTAAGATAAAACTAGCTAACTAATCTTCTTAAATTAGTGATGATGTTTTAAGATAAAACTTTCTGAGAAGATTTTTTGATGTTCAGAACCTTAAGTATAGAAAATTGATTGTTCATACATCATACAATGATGATTCATAAACTAGTAGACGTATTTTAAAAACCTTGAGGTGAATTTGGAATAGAAAAGCAAAATAAGGACAATATTAGCTAGCGGTGGGTTTGGACTATTACATTTAAAGGGATAATTCTTTTAAGAAAATCGAAGGGAAATAACTTTCGGAAAGCCAAGTTTTTCATAGTTATTTGAGCCAAGTTTTTCATAGTTAATTAAATGGTATGAACTTAATTTTTACAACTTTGATGGAGAACAAAGTTAAAATGAGTTAGGTGGAAAACATATGAAAATGGGAAGAACTTAACTTTAATGAGATGCTAAAGAACAGAACGTGATATGTGCTAGTATCATATGTCATTCTCATTCTCATTTCGTTACATATCATACATATTTCTAGCGGGGTTATATATCATGCAATTTACCGTATTTCATGTCATGCAATTCATTCAATCACATTCCCATACTCATACAACAAGCCATAATCGTACACGGGTCACACATTGTCACATGCATTCATATCACATCCAATAAGCAGCATAAATAACATACATTCACGTTCACATGATTTCGTACTTAAGCACATTAAGCTAGCATACAATTTAATGGCACGTGCATAACCACGAGCACATGCCAACATACAGCAATTAATGCGTAACCTACAACGGGTGAGCCACTTACTTGGTAGGCCTTAGCCGAAGTACTCCCTAGAATATAACATAAGCTCCTAACTCCTCGTGGATGTTCTACGCTTCCGTTGGTAGTTGGTTCCTATTGGTTCATGAGTTACTTCTGTTAGTATTCCACAAATAATAATAAATTCTCAACTGGAATTTGTGAAATATGACCTTAAAATGTTCCCTTTTACCTTAAACAGGGCCGAAACCAGGTCCGGGAGGGTCGGAACGGTGTCAAACGGGCTGGAAACAGGTTTCCCGAACCGAATAAGCTGCAGGAGCCGAGGAGCCGCCGCCGAGCCAATGAAGCCGCCTGAGCCGAGAGGAGTCGCGCTGCAGACGTGACGCGTGGCACAATCAGAGAGCGACGCGTGTGCAGGCGTCTCAGGTTGAGGCGCGGGTTAACGGGTCGCTCGGGGGTCTCGAGCCGAACGCGAGTGACGGGCCACGCGGTGATGGGCCGGATTGCAGGTGACGAGCCGCGGGGTGATGGGTCGGCTCGCGGGTGAAGGCCGGGTGTTTGGGCTGCGGGTAACGTGGGTTCTGGGCTGACCGAAGGGATGGGGTTCGGTCCGGGTTTCCGGATCTGGATCTCGGGTCGGACTTCGTCCTCTTCGCCCGACTGCCTGCGCGATTTTCCGGCGATCTCTCTCTCTCCTCGACAACGTCGTCCCGACATCCTTTTTCCCCCTTTTTTCCCCCGTTCCCGAGCTTATCCTTCACCCTAACCCCGTTTTTGGTACAGATTTCGTTGGTAAGGGCCTTGCACTCCCGGATCTGGAGAAGCTCGAAAGTCCGCCGTTCTGTCTTCCTTGCCGACGGTGTTCATCGTACGAGATTCGTCTAAAACCTACTCCTGATGTGTGTAAAGGGTTCTGGGATTACTTTTGTGGTGTGAAATGGGGCTTTTCGACGTCGATTCGTACGGTTCAGCTTCGCCGGAGTTCCTTCGATTTTCGGTTCTCTCTCCTTTTTCCTCACCGTTTTTGTTTCTTTGCAGGTTCTTTCAAGGTTGCTGAAGATCGGGGACGTGATTTGTGGCATCCCAGCCCTCGGCCACCCTTTGTGGGTCGTGTGCGAGTGAAAACTCCGACATTCGCCGAAGTTTTCGACTCTGCCAACGACCATTTTTTTTTCCGGTTCCGTTACATTTAAATTTTGAAATCCCATTTATTAGTGTTTTAACTAAAATCAAAGTTTCTAGCTTAACAAAAATCTTCTTATATAGCTTAGAACATTTAGTTCCCATCATGAAAGAATGTAGTCTTTTGACACGTATTCTTCTAACATGCAAATCAATCTACTGAATTTAGCATTCTAATTATGCACTCAAACTATTTAAAATGATCATACTTCCCCTATCATGTACGCTTGATAGTGAAGGTGGTAAAGCGTACACTTTTTCTAGCTTTACCACCTTCACTATCAAGCGTACATGATGTATTTCATGTGTCCATGTTAAGGAAATATATTGCCGACCCTACGCACGTAATAGACTACAAACCTCTCCAAATCGAGGAAGATTTAAGTTATCAGGAGAAACCGATTAAAATCCTAGCTCGAGAAGTGAAAGCCTTACGTAATAGATGTTAGGGTCGCACAACAACGCACACACTCAATCTAGATGAACACAAAGAACAGGATAGAGAAAATTGCAAGGAGAACTCTAGCTAAAAGAATTTGTATTGATGAATATGTATAAGAGAGAATACAGAGAATAGAAAAAGTACATTTTCAAAACTCTACGGGACGGGATATATATATAGTTCAGTTTACTATATATAGCTTTACCAGATTTAACCATCTACTATATATAGCTATTTACTATATATAGCTTTACCAGATTTAACCATCTACTATATTTAACTATTTACCATATATAGCTTTACCGGATATAGCTTTACCAAATATAGTTTTACCGCATATAGCCGTTGACTAAGCTATAAATAATAGAGCAGACTTCATAACCTAACAATTCTTTCACTTGGAGACTGATCCAGTCAACCAAGAATTTCATTCTCAAACGATCACTCCACTATACCAATTTAGGCTTTGATAACCTTAATTTTCCAACATCAACATATTTTGTCAACATGTCTGCTGGATTCTTTGACCCTCTATCTTCTCCAAACACATATCGCTTTCTTCCACTAACCTGCGAGTGAAATGGTATCGCCTTCTAATGTGTTTTGTCCTTCAATGATAGACTGGGTTTTTCACCAACTTTATGGCACTCTGACTATCTGTATAAAGGATCTTCTTGCACTGCTTCCTGCCTAATTCTTCTAGATAGTCTGTCATCCATATCATCTCCTTTCCAGCTTCAGCTATTGCCACGTACTCGGCTTCAGTAGATGAAAGGGCAACGCATTTCTGAAGCTTGGACATCTAACTCACTGCTGTTCCATCTATAGTGTAGATATATCCATATGTGCTCTTGCTAGAGTCTACATCTTCACTCAGATCAACATCCACAAAACCTTGCAGAACTACTTTGCCATTTGCCATAACAAAGTGAAGTATTGGATGTACCTCTCAGATATCTCAGAAGCCACTTCACAGCTTTCCAATGTTCTTTCCCTAGATTTCCCATGTACTTGTTAACAACTCCCACTGCATGTGTTATGTCAAGTCTAGTGCAGACCATAGCATACATCAAACTCCCAACTGCGGAAGCGTACGGAACTGATGCCATGTGCTCACGTTCCTCAACTGTCTTGGGAGATTGCCCTTTTGACAATTTAATATGATTTGCCAAGGGGGTAATCCTAGGTTTAGCGTCATTCATCTTGAATTTGGACAAAACCTTCTCAATGTACTGCTCTTGGGATAGATTTAATGTGCCAGTAGATCTATCTCGAGAAATCCTCATCCCAAGAATCTGCTTCGCTGCACCCAAATCTTTCATCTCAAATACTGAAGACAAGCTTGCCTTCAAGTGGTTTATCTCCCTCATACATGATCCAGCAATTAGTATATCATCCACATACAGGAGTAGAAACACATAAGAATCAGTGTATTTCTTGAGGTAGCAACACTGATTCTTTTCACTCCTGTGGAAACCACTCTTGCACATGAAGAAGTCAAACTTCTTGTACCATTGTCTCGGTGCTTGTTTCAATCCATACAAGCTCTTATTGAGCTTACACACCATGTGCTCCTTGCTTGGAGCTGTAAACCCTTCTGGTTGTTGCGTATAGATCTCCTCATCTAGATCTCCATGTAAAAACGCCGTTTTTACATCCATTTACTCAAGGTGCAAATTCTCCGATGCAACAATACTCAGCAGAATTCGGATAGTAGCTAATTTCACAATTGGAGAAAAGATCTCAGCATAATCAATGCCTTTTCTTTGTGAATATCCTTTAGCTACTAACCGAGCCTTAAACCTTCTTCTGCCATCTGGTTCAACCTTGATTCTGAACACCCATTTGTTCAACAGAGCTCTCTTTCCTGTAGGCAACTCATTCAGCATCCACGTATTATTCTTTTCAAGTGAGCTCATCTCATCATCCATGACTTGCTCCCACTTGGTTGAATCTTCCACTTGTAGGGCCTCATCAAAGGACTTTAGTTCTCCTTCGTTAGTCAGCAACAGATAATGTAATGAGGCTGAATATCTATCTGGTGCTCTGATAGTTCTGGATGATCTCCACCTTCACTTGCTCAGGTGTAACTTGCTCCACTTCTGGTTCTTCAGTAATAGGATCAGGAGTTTCTTGAGCTTCTGTTGTAACATCACTGCGTGAATTTTCCTACCACTCAAGTTTAACTCCCACTTGCTTCATAGTCTCAGAGTTTATCTTCTCTCTGTTCTTGTACATGACATTTTCATCAAAGGTCACATCGCAATGTCTTAGTATTTTCATATTTTTCTCATCCCAAAACCTGTACTCGAACATGTCAGAGCCATAGCCTATGAAGTAGCATTTCAC